AGAGGATGGGGATGGAATATGGCACGCAAGAATTAAAGGGCCATGGAACATTTGCTGCGATATGAAGGAGCATCATCAGTCCAGAACTCACAGAGAGAGATATGGGAAATGAGTGCAGTTAATTAAATAAGTCAGACACCATATTATTAAAAATCCAAACTATCACACAGGCACGCAAGCATGGTATCAGCACCTGGAACAAAATGGGAAAGCACCTCTTCTGTTCACAAAAAGAGAACCAGAAAGCAGATATTCAATGAAGTAAGAGAGGTCATTTCCACATATGAGTCTTTGCCAATAGATAGAAGTAGAACAAGGGAATCTTAAGTTTCCCCAATGCCCTACATCAGACTTTAAAGTGACTCCGAATTCCTTGCTGTGAGGCCAAAGATCTCGTTAAGAAGTACAAATTGTCCTTGTACTACAACAGAACAATCTCCGGTCCCAAGCTAATTAAGTTTCTTGTGTCCTGGCGATTTGTTGTTTCTTAATGAGAGTGCCCGGCACCTCTCCCAAGTCCTATATTGTAATTAAGCAACAATGGGAAGATGACGTGGTGGAGGATAAAGAGTGGAAAGAAGGTAAAGTGGAAAGTCGTCCTGTCTGGTGACCTGCCCTCACAAGCTATCTCTCCCTCTCTCCCTCTCTGTCTCTGTATTCCTCTCTTGACTGGCTTCTCTTTTTCCAGTAGGCTGTTTGACAAGCTGCCAGTTCTAATGCCCTCAGCGCAATGTCCCTTGTCAACTCCCATAAACTCTTATATCTATCAGAGCTTCCTCTTAACAAAAAAAGAAGCTTCCATTATCAAAGTGATTAAAAATGATCTTTAATTCTGGGGACAGCCAAGGGTACGGTGAGTTTAGACAAAGCCAATTGCAATAAAGTTCCGCATCTGCATATCTTTATTGCATTCTTTTTGTTGCCTTCTTTTTTGTAACCTGCGTCTCCCTCCTGCCGACATTTGTCTTTTCTCAGGTGGCGCTCCTTTACTCCGTTTCTCCTCCGCCGTCTCTCTCGCCGCATCAATGAGAAGTGTTAAGAGTCGATTCAGTAGCGTACACGGATCAATAGATCGCGCTGACCCTGACACCAAAATGTAAATGCTGTTGTTAGATAACGGCTTATGGAAAATCCACTCCATCACACAGATTTAGGAAAAATGGGCTTTAAAAGATGCATATTTTGTTTTGTTTTTTAAAACTCAAAAAAACAAAACAAAAAACCTAATTTGCATATATAATTACTTAATTAATGGGCTGTATGTTATGAACAGTCAATTTGCTAATTATAGCATTAGTTGACATTGAATCAAATCAGAGAACATCGCCACATATGATCTTTTATATACCAGATTTTTAATTAGTGCATTGAGTTAAGTCGAGGAAAGATGCAATATCGCCATGTCTGAAACTTCCCACCAAGGTGAGATAAAATAGCAGGGGGATATAAATGTGATGTACTGTGGGGAATAAAAGTTGTGGTGATGGTGAAATACCTTAAGAGCATAACTCTGCCATGCATCAAAAGTACATGCTGTCAAACTTGTTAATTTAATTACCTGAGTTGTGTTGGGGATTTTAAATGGCTGGGGAGGTAGTTAGTATCTGTGCCAGTGGAGGCCACCTCGGTGTCAGCCGGCTCCTCTCACTCACTTCCTCGCATCCTTTCCAGATACACTGCCAGCTTTTTGCAAGTAGTGCTTCATTTACAGTTACAAGGTGGTGGTGGTCAGGGGTGTGAAGAGGAAAAGGAGAAGCAGAAAGGTAAGGTGAGGGGAAGAGCATCTACCAGAGAGGAGTAAAAAGAGGAATAGCTTTGGATAAGATTCTGAGCAGGAAAGTGAAATGCAGGGAAGCTAAAATGCCATGACAGGCTTAATTAGAACCATTACAGAGTGGCCATCTGGGGCTCACAAGGTTGTCTCTTACTCACAACAACAGAATATGATTAATGGAAACCCACAAAGTGATGAGTACTAATGTTCACTGCAAAAAAAAGAAGGGTGTGTTAAGAGTACATCTGACACAAACGAGAAGTGGCAACTTGCAATGTGAAGCTCGAGTGCAAATCACAACATTTTAAATGGCCTTTCAGATCAGAAATTGATCAGCTGGATAAATGCATCCGGTAGAAGACCTTTTAGGCAAGGGATGCAGGGATGTGCTAAGAGAAGATGGAGGACAGAGCGTTGTTTACTTTCTTTGAAAAGATGAGAGTGCAGGACAGGATGGGGACGGGACGTGATGAATTCTCTTAAAGAGCAGCACTGGACATCAGACAGAAAATGTGATGAGGCACAAAGGCCTCCCAGCGCATATCAAACAGATGATTTCAGTCTGAGTGATGTTGTCTTGGTATTATTGACTGTATGGTGAGACTGAATGATAATGCCAGTGGCTGAAGAAGAGGACAGGTTAAAAAGTACATGGGCAACTCTTTGACCACCCATCTAATGCATACCAAATCCTTTGTTCTGCTTTGTAGCTTCACACTCACAAGGCTTGCATCTATCACTCCCGCTGTCTGTTTATCTCACTTGTTTGAGTGACTTCCAACCTCAGGTGGTTCACAGACTTTGTTTGGCATTTGTCTGGTTTTGCATTAGCATTCTCTGAAGTGATGCAACTCTGCTTTTACTTTTCCTCTGCTCAGTGTCAGATATGAAAATAATCTATCTTTATTTTACATTTCGATACCTACTTCTCAACTGTATGTAAATGGACTCTTTGTGAATGTCGTGGTAATTTTGGGATTTTAATGATTTCTTTACACTGCTCTTTTGCCAGGATCTTCAAAGTGTTTAAAAATAATAATAATCCACACGGAAGAGTATACATAGAAGTTTAAATATATACCCATTCCCCTTACTAATATTTGGGTAAATGTCCCTTAGTAAGTGACACATCAACCAAACACTTCTGGCATAATAGTGGGCGGATATTTGATCACTCTTCTTGGTGGATTTAGTTTGGGATCATTGTTATGTTGAAACAACCAACTGTGCCCAAGTTTCAACCATTTACAGCACCTGCTGATTTGTAGTGAAGTTAAAGAATTTGGAGATGGAATTCATTCATTATTCTATCCACTTTGTACTATGTACCGGAACCACTCGCAGAAAAAAACACCACAGTCCATGATGTTATCACCACCATGCTTCACAGTTGGTTCACTGTTCTAAGATCTGAAAGTCCTTACTCTCACTCCTGAGACTAAGATAGTTGTGAACATCCTAACCAATTTCCTCTTATCTGAAGGTGACACCCTGGGTCTTCTTCCAGACCTTGGTAAAGTGGTGACACATCCAAATTCAGAATCAAAATCAGAGAAACTTTATAAATCCCAGAGGAAAATTTTGTTGTTATAGCAGCAACTATACAACAAACAACAAGCACTCATATAAAATGAGTGTAGAAACAGAGTTATGACAGATACATAGAAAAATATAGAGATATAGGTTTAAATATAAATATAAAAGGACAAGTGCATGTGCAAATATGTTGTGGTGTACAAAAGTGACAGGGTGCATTGAGGTGTGATTAATACTGTTCCACATCCAAGTGGATGAATTAAAGAGTCTGATAGCAGTGGAAAGGAATGGCCTGTAACGTTCCCTCAGACAGCAATGTTGAAGGAACCTATTGCTATTGCTGAAACTGCTCTTCAGATTGTCCAGTGTGTTATGGAGGGGCTGGGAGTCATTGTCCATGATTGCCAGCAGTCTTGCCAGCATTCTGTCACTGATCACCTCCTTCAGGGTGGCAAGCTTCATGCCAAAAACACACTTGGCCTTCCCGATGAGTTTCTTCAGTCTGTTTGCGTACTTTGCTTTGATGCCTGAACCCCAGCACCCCACAGCAAACAAGATGATGCTCACAAAACATATAGAGCAGCCTGCTGCATACATTGAAGGATCTGAGCCTTTGTAGAAAGTAAAGCCGACTCAGACCCTTTTGGTAGGCAGGGTTGGTGTTGGCAGATTACTTGTACTCATGTAGAATCTGCAGTTGTTTAGAAATGGCTCCAAGAACCACAAGGAGAAAAAGCAGTTGGAAAATTTACTTGCACAAACTGTTATTTATTAAGAGCATCCACCATTGTAATGGTATATATTACCAGACACAGAAAAAACCCCATTATTCTTTCCACCAGACCCTCTCCCTTTTTACTCTTCTTTGCCTAAAGCCTTGAGTCAGAATGGCATTTCTAAAGATAATTCATTCAGTTCTTCCCATTCAAACAATCACTTTATGTGTATACATAATTTATTATATACGACTTAATAATTAAAATCAGCACATTTGTGTTTAGCATCTTTATGGACTTGCTATACTATTACATAGCTCTGTGAATGGCATTTTAACAAGGTTTTCTGGTATTTGTTTCTGCAAAATATATACATGGATACACACTTAAAAGAAGACAACCTAAATATATCATTAAGTTCTATTATTGACCAGAACAAGGGTCTCTGCTCTTCTGGCAACTCCTCATCGCTATTCACTGCTGCTATCTATAGTGCTATGAACGTCTCAAACAACTGTTTATCGGATCCACTTCACCACTTCCCACTCCCCGGCAACATAATTAGATGTTTTCTCAACATCTAATTATGGTTAGAAAATAGTTCCAAAATGCAAGCTGTGTCAGTGTCGAGATGCAACCTCAGTTTCAACTTGGTATATATCTTGAAAGTCACCTGGACTTTCTAGCAAAGGACAGTTTGACTCAAAGAACTGTTTTAAATTCTGTTTTTTTTTGTTTTTTTTAAATCTATTAAAACTAAATGGAAAAAAAAAGAAATTGAGAAAAGACTAATGTAGCCCAGATGAAAAATATCATACTTATTCTCTTTATATTAACTGTCCACATCAACAAGCGTCGTATTTCCTATGACCATTGAATGCACCTCTCAGTTCACCCCACGTGAGGGCACCTAGCTCAGCAACCAATCAGAGCCTACCCAGGCCGCATTGACCCTGTCAGCCAGGAAGGGAGGTGCATGGTGTCCCGGGTTTTTCTTATCTCAGCAAGAGGAGTGGAGGCATCTGCTACTCAAACCGAGAAATCCACGGACAAAAGAGAGGAAAACTCAGGATTGAGAGGAAGGAAAGCCAGCCTACTTACCTGCTGGAAGTCCGGAGTCGAGTGGCTGGATGAAAGAGAGAGGCAACGTCGGTAAGACGAGTGTTGTTCTGATGGAAAAAACTTGTAGAGACTTACCGTTGCGATCATGCTAATGCTAGCTCGGTGTCTCACAGGCTAACCACTCACCTTTCATCCGGAGAGCTGCTGCAATTCCAACGCCAGTGTGTGTTGGGCTTTTGTGAAACAGAGCAACGGTGAGCAACATGTTCTTAGCTGCTCTAAAGCTAAATTTTGTCAGTTCACTGTGAGTTTAAAGTAATCTAGAGGGTAATTTTTAGTGCATTTCTCTCTCACGAATAGGCCTATAGTGTGGAGAAATTAAGCACACTGCTTTAATGCCTCTGAACTGAACTCACATGTATATTTTGTTGCTTATTTGCACATAGTTCTGAATTTGTTATGGTGTATTGTATTTTGAGTGTCAATGGTTACTTACCATAAGTATTGTTTAATTAATGTTTACATGAATAGAGAAATATTTGAGCAACTTAGATGTTTAGTTCTCATATTTGATATGCTTGAAAATTGAATGTTGTACAACAGAACTGTGAGATTTGATAAGATTTAAGATGTTGATGCAATGAATATGAGGTGATGCAATATTTTGATTTTGTATTTTAACCTTAAACAATGCATCTGAAACAGACTGATTAGAATGTACATTTTATGACCTGGATTATAGGTCAGGTTTTTTGGAGAGGACGGAAAAGTCCAAGGACCAGGACGATATTCTGGTTGTGATAGATGGCGAGCCAACCACTTTGAGGACGATCTACCCCAAAGAAGATACACACCACACACTCATACATTCCAGTTACATTCACAAGGACCTTTGAAGTTGGCTATCACCAGCTTAACTCTAAATTCTTAAAGGGCCCCAACGAGTACTTTTATTTTGTTGAGTGTGCACACTATTTATTTTATTTTATACTTTATCTGTACAAATTGGACAAATACCAGTTATACTTTGTAACAATACAAGAGTGGCTACTCAAAAGTTAACATTGTGTCCAGGTCATTATTGCTGCTCAATACTTTGGCTCCATACGAATTTGGTGTCTTCTGATTCTGGCCAGGGTCTTATTACGAGCCCAAGTAATTATTGCGCTGTAATTCACCTTTATACCTTAAAGTTGGTTACAGAAGTGGCGAGCCAGCCAGGAGCCAATTGATTTGAGCATCAATATTGAGGCAATGACCAGCATGGATTTCATACAAAAGTCTGGTGTCAAAATACCTAATGCGGTTGTTGTCGCTGGGATAACACAGGTATCTGAGAAAGATGAACAGGTCATTGACTTTCTGAAACAGTATGGTAAAATCACAAGAGTCCTTTTTGTTGATGATTCACTGTCCAACTTCTACCAAAACCTGATCGTAGAATACTCTAGCAGTTCAGCCTTAGAAGGTTTAGAACCTCGTTTACCATACACATACACAGCACAAGCTGATCCCAGCGTTGTCTATGAAATTAAAACACTCAGTAGCATGTACACTACCACGGTTGGGAGTAATGTTACAAAAACCTACTTGGCGGAACTCAAGGAACTAGCCAAGCTGAGTGGCAAAGACTACGGTGAGGTGCTGAAGGAGATGATGTGTCAGATTGGGGAGGATGTTGAAGCCATGCGACCTACCACTGAAGAACCTTCTCCCACGTATGTCGAGACCACTGTTGTACCTCCGCCCGCTTCTAAAGAGCGACAGTGTCACACCTCACATTCAGATGTTACACCAAGTGATACTGGTGCCACTGATGATGTTCCCCTCACTAATGGAAGGAGAGCAGCGTCCCTCTCAGTAAGTGACTTGAACCCACCTGACATTCAGAAGGTTGTGGTAGAGCATATCGTACGAAGGCAAGATGTTGTCCCACACATCCAGTCCCAGGTGAGACTCCGTTCCTTCTCCGGTAAGGTTCCCAGACCTAACAATGAAACTGATTATGACACATGGCGCACACAAATTGAACTGCTCCAAAATGATCCCAGCATGTCCCCCCTGCAAATATCCAGAAAGATCCATGAGAGCCTGCTCCCACCAGCAGCTGATATAGTTAAGAGTTTGCGGCCTGAGTCACCACCTGTGACTTATTTGCAGCTTCTAGATTCAGCCTTTGGCACTGTAGAAGATGGTGAGGAACTTTTCGCTCAATTCCTGAACACCCTTCAAGATCCAGGTGAGAAGTCATCCACTTACCTTCACCGGCTACAGCTAGCATTAAACAGAGCCACGAAGAGGGGGGAGTCGCATGTGAAGAAGTGGACAAACATCTACTTAAACAGTTCTGCAGGGGATGTTGGGACAACGACCTACTCAGCGCCCTGCAACTTGAGCAAAAGAAGAGCAGCCCACCCCAATTCTCAGACCTGTTGTTAATGATTCGCTCTGAGGAAGATCGACAGCAAGCAAAAACTAACCGTATGAGAAAACACATTGGCACCACAAAGCAGAGAACTCAGTTACAGTTCCAGGGTGCACATGTTTGTGAACCAGAGGAGAAACATGGGAGTAGCATTGCTGCTATTGAGGATCTGCGAAAGCAGGTGGCGAGTCTGCAAAGTCAACTAACTACATTCATGTCACAGAAAAAAACAAAGTTTGCAAACAGCAAGGACCCTGCAGGGAAGCCGCAGAGTAAGATGTCAAAGCCACATGGTGTAGATGGACGTATGCAAAGACAGACTTCAAAGAGGCAAAGGGGCAGACCCAAGCCCTGGTATTGTTTCAACTGCGGTGAAGATGGACATATCGCTCCATGCTGTGTTGACCCCGCTAACCCCAACCTAGTAGCAGAAAAAAAGAAGCAGTTGGAGGGGAAACAACGCCAGTGGGAAGCGCGAGATTGTACAGATTCACCTTTAAACATCTAACAGTTCCTGTTGTGGGACAAACAGGAGCTGAGGAGAGTCAACAACGTCCCTCAGACGTAAACAATGGTGACAAAATCACAGCTGAGGTTAACAAAGTAAGTACCCCAGCAAAGACTGTCAAAGCACAAACATGTTCTGGCTTAAACCATTCAGAGCAGAACCAATCTTTCCAACTCCCTAAACAGTTGATTGGTACCAGAAGTACAGCTCAAGTGACTGTGAGAGGTGAAGAAGTCAACTGTCTTCTTGACTCAGGCTCCCAAGTTACCACTGTTCCTGAGTCATTTTACCAGCAGCACCTTTCAGAGCAAAAGATCAAGCCACTACATGACCTCTTAGAAGTGGAAGGTGCTAATGGCCAGCTAGTGCCTTACTTTGGCTATATAGAAATGACCATAACTTTTCCAAAGGACTTTATAGGTGTTCCAGTAGATGTAAACACACTTGCTTTAATCGTCCCTGACACTTCACAATCCCTCATGCTCATAGGCACAAACACCCTAGATGTACTGTTCGACATCTACTCAGAGACTGACTTAGCCAATCGTCAACCCCTCCCACATGGCTACAAAGTAGTCTTCAAAATCATTGAGTTGAGACGGAAGCAGACAAGTGACACCCATCAGGGGGTAGTGAAGCTACTTGGCAAGATGCCTCAAGTCATTCCAGCTGGTTCAACTGTAGTGGTGGAGGGAGTCGCCCTTGGCGAGGGCCTTCAGGATGAAAAATCAGTTGTAATTGAGTACCCATCATCGTCCCCCTTGCCCGGTGGCCTGCTACTTAAAGCCGGTCTGGTGGACTTTCCCCAGCGGCGGCCCCACAAGTTGCCAGTTGTTATAAGCAACGAGTCTGACCACGACATTGTCATCCCTGCCAAGTGTACTATTGCAGAGGTCAGTGCTTATCAGACCATCCTATTAAAGGAACACAACAAGACCAAACAGTCAGAACATCCCAGAGAACTCCAGAGACTCCGTCTTTCCAAGAGCCCACCATAACCTTCAATTTTGGTGACTCCCCAGTTCCATTGGAATGGAAACAGCGCATCACTCAGCAGCTCAGCGGCATGCCTGAGGTGTTTGCACAGCACGACCTGGATTTTGGCCGGACGGACCAGGTGCGACATCATATAAAACTTTCGGATGGCACGCCTTTCAAACTACGTGCCCGGCCAATCCACCCACGGGACATTGAGGCTGTCCGGAAGCACATTCAGGAACTCCTTGATGCAGGAGTTATTAGAGAGTCAGAGTCCCCATTTGCGTCACCCATAGTGGTAGTCCGGAAAAAGAACGGCCAAGTCCGGTTGTGCATCGATTATAGGCGTCTAAACCTCCAGACTATAAAAGATGCGTACAGCCTTCCAAGCTAGAGGACACGTTCTCAGCCCTCAATGGTTCACAGTGGTTCTCTGTTCTTGATCTAAAATCAGGGTACTACCAGATCGAGGTCGAAGAAGCAGACAAACCGAAGACGGCCTTTGTGTGCCCTCTCGGCTTCTGGGAGTTCAACAGAATGCCTCAGGGTGTAACGAACGCCCCCAGCACGTTCCAGCGGTTAATGGAGCGGTGCATGGGGGATATGCATTTGAAGGATGCATTGGTCTTTCTTGATGACGTGATAGTATTCTCCCGAACCCTTGAGGAACACGAAGAAAGACTCATGAAAGTGCTCACTCGTCTAAAAGAGTTTGGGTTAAAGCTGTCACCAGAGAAATGTGTCTTCTTCCAGACTTCAGTCCGTTATCTGGGACATGTGGTCTCCAGAAATGGAGTTCGGACTGACCCTGAGAAGATTTCGGCCCTTAAAACATGGCCTGTCCCACAGACCCTGCGAGAGTTAAAGTCGTTCCTTGGTTTTGCTGGGTATTATAGAAGGTTCGTTAAGGGGTATTCCAGCATTGTGAAACCTCTCCACAACTTAACTTCAGGGTACCCACCTAGCCACAAGAAATCAAAAGTAAACGCAAGACAAAGTGCACATCAGTACCATGACCCAAAAGACCCTTTCGGAGGTCGCTGGACGCCAGCTTGCCAGGAAGCCTTCGAGTCAGTCATCCAAAGTCTCACCACTGCCCCTGTACTTGCCTTCGCTGACCCCCAGAAACCCTATATACTGCACACCGACGCCAGTACCACCGGGCTTGGTGCTGTATTGTATCAGGAGCAAGAGGGACAACTTAGAGTCATAGGCTATGCAAGTAGAGGGCTGTCACGGAGCGAAAATCGCTATCCAGCGCACAAGTTGGAGTTTCTGGCGCTCAAGTGGTCAGTTACAGAAAAGTTCAGCGACTATCTCTACGGCAACCACTTCACTGTTGTAACGGATAGTAATCCGCTGACTTACATTCTGACTTCAGCAAAACTTGACGCAACTAGCTATAGGTGGCTAGCAGCACTGTCCACATTCTCTTTCAAACTCCTCTATCGTCCAGGGAAGCAGAATGGAGATGCGGATGGATTATCACGCAGACCACACGGAGGGCTAGCGGACGACCTGAAATCACAAAAAGAGATTGAACGCATACAACAGTTCACTCAAGATCACCTTTGTGACCCAGACAACATCAATGCTGTAAATCAGTCTGTGGTGAAAGCAATCTGTGAGAGGCAGTTCACCTACAGCGTCAGTCCTGACAATGAAAGAGAGGCAGATGCAGATTGTGTTGCCTTGGTGGAGGTGCTTGCTGTGTCTCCTAGTGCTGTACCTGATAGCTATGGGCAAGAGGAACAGTTTGGAGGTCTGCCAACCATTCCCCATCTAACTGAGGCAGAGCTGGCAGACGAGCAAAGAGCCGATCAGTGTATAAAGCATGTTATTTCTCAGATCGAATATGGGGACACACCACCTCCAACCGTGCGCACACAACTCCCTGAGCTTCCACTGCTCCTCCGAGAGCTTAACCGTCTTGAGCTCCGCAACAATGTCTTGTACCGGCGACGCCAAGAGAGGTCCCAGAAAACCTACCAGCTTGTACTTCCAGCTGAGCTTCGCAACACAGTTCTCACCAGCCTGCATGACCATATGGGTCACATGGGAGTCGACCGTACACTGACCTTGTAAGGTCAGATTTTTGGCAGGGGTGGACGTGGAAGGAGTGAGCGTGTGGCGGGCGTGCGGGGAGGCACGGCTGAAAGAGCGGTTGGTCACATTAATACGACACGACCTCTTGAACTCTTGTGCATGGACTTCTTGTCCCTGGAAGCTGACAGGAGTGGAACCAAAGATATATTGGTGATCACGGACCACTTCACTAAATTTGCAGTTGCTATCCCAACACCTAATCAAAAGGCCCGCACAGTGGCAAGGTGTCTGTGGGAGAACTTTATGGTACACTATGGCATCCCAGAAAAATTGCATAGTGACCAGGGTCCAGATTTCGAGTCCCGCACAATCAAGGAGCTCTGTCAGGTGGCTGGTATCCACAAGGTGAGGACAACCCCATACCATCCTAGGGGCAATCCTGTGGAACGATTTAATCGTACCTTGCTTGATATGTTGGGAACTCTCCGTGATCAAGATAAGTCCTGTTGGCGTGACCATGTAAGACCCCTGGTCCACGCTTATAACTGCACCAGGAATGAAGTGACTGGTTTCTCCCCGTACGAACTGATGTTCGGACGCCAACCTCGGTTGCCAGTTGACCTTGCATTCAACCTGCCAGTGCAAGAGGAACAACACTCATCTCACTCTGAATATGTGCAAAAACTCAAGTCACGTCTCAAAGAAAGCTACAAGTTAGCTATGGACAAGGCTGCAAAGATGGCTCACAAGAACAAAATGAGGTTTGACAGACATGTAACTGCATCAGACTTGGAAGCTGGAGATCGGGTATTGGTCAGGAATGTCCGTATCCGGGGCAAACATAAGATTTCAGACAAGTGGGAACACACTGTGCATGTAGTAGTGAGAAGGGCAGGCAACCTCCCAGTATATACAGTTAAGCCTGAAAACAAAGATGGTCCCCTAAGAACACTACACCGGGATCTGTTGCTACCATGTGGCTACCTACCTGTGGAGGAAAGCAGTGAGCATGTACAGAAGCCAGTGTCACGCAGGCCAAGAACCCGTGCAAATCCAGCGCTAGAGGAAGAGAACTCCTCAGACGAAGAAGATGATTTGCTCATTCCTGTTTGGTTGAGTTCCCCTGTCCACACAGTGAGTGAGAGTCCTGTAAATGTTCCTGATATTGACAACCCACCTGTTTTTGACAGCCAATCTGATTTTGGCAACATACCTGATATGCCTAACAGTACTACAGATGATACTGAGTACTTATCTACCAATGGAGTCACACCGACCGAACAAGTGGATGAAATAACCTTAACTGAAACTGACTCACCTGTTGATGACCCAGACGTCCAAGAAAGGCAATTTCCATTTCAGGAGGCTGGCACCAGAGGTGCGAATTCTGAGGAGAGAGTGGAGGAGATAGTCCCAGTGGATACAAGGGAAAACATGGATACAAATGATTCTGTAAGGAGATCTGAGAGAAACCGTCGTCCG